ACGAAGTAATTTCTTCAACTTAGGAACAGATAAAAGGTTTAGACCCCAAAACAAGCAATGAACATTGAAAAATTTCATTGTGTACTTTATGGTTTAAAGGAACCATACTGAATGAACTCAAGTTATAGCTACCCAGTTTTTGAATTTATGTGACCTTTATTAATTAATATTGTATTAGGCATCATATATTATTATTATATAAGAGATAAACTTGATATAACTACCTTGTAATTATACCTATGGTAGCTCTCTATTTTACAGAGGCTGTAGGTGGTTCATGACATTCATTATAATTACATTTCCACTGTGCAAGTGTTAGAGGAACTCCTTCCAATTTCAGATGAGACCATACGTGTGTCGTGTGAAGTAATGGAGTAGATTGACAACTTACTACAGTAATACCACCACTGAAAAGTTGTGCTTTCAAGGACATTTAGTTGAGTGCCGAAGGCACAGCGCTCGGGATCAGTGCATCGGTCATGATAACATCCCACGATATGTCTCCTCATATCCTACCACCATAATAAAGCTTATCCTAAATGAGGCACATTCTTGTCACCTAAAATCCATATCAACTCCATTGTACAGAGATGCCATCTGAGACAAAGGGTGGTTAAGCAACTTTTCAAACGAAGATCCACACAGCATCTAATGTGGAGCCTCAGGATTCGAACTTTTTCACTCTAAAAACTCTGCACTCATCACTTACTAGATTATACTCATCAATCCCGTAGGAGAGGGAAGAAAACGAGCATAAAACTTAGTTACCAGGGTGCTCAGATTTAGAAGCAACGTGAAATACAAATACAATAAGGCAACTGAGATCCTCTGACCAGAATAGCGTGTCCTAAACCGAGAAGAGGGTAAGTTGCATTGTCACTCGGTGTCACGTATCTAAGAGATCGAGTCCAACGTGTTCAAAGAGAGAAGCCGCTTCCAGTGATTACTCTCCTCCCTGGAAATTTCTTTCTATTTATAGTAGAGACGGGGTCTCGCTCTTGCTCAGGCTGGTTTTGAACTCCTGACCTTGAGCAATCCACCCGCCTCGGCCTCCCAAGAGCTAGGATTACAGGCGTGAGCCACAGCGCCCGGCCAGATATATCTGTTTTGTTTCCCACTTGATCACACGCAGGTGATACCTAGCAAGTGTCTGATAAATATTTGTTGAATGAATAAATGTCTAAATAAGTGAGTGGCAAGATTTGAACTCTAATTCCTCCTCTTCAAACTTCCAATATCCAGCTTAGTGTTCAGAGGTAAGGTACAGATGCTCAATGTACTCTGAGAGCAATAAATAAGCTTACGTTCTGTGGCTCCAGTTTCTAGGGCCCTCCATCTCCCCGAGTTTGCCCTAGTGACTCCTGCCCAGGGGTCTTCCTTCCCCGAGGAGCAATGCACAATCACGTAAAGAGTATCTGAAATTTACAGAAATGATAAAGACGTGATGTCCACCAAATGAAGACGAAGGTAATTTCTTCAACTTAGGAACAGATAAAAGGTTTAGACCCCAAAACAAGCAATGAACATTGAAAAATTTCATTTGTGTACTTTATGGTTTTAAAGGAACCATACTGAATGAACTCAAGTTACAGCTACCAGTTTTTGAATTTATGTGACCTTTATTATAATTAATATTGTATTAGGCATCATATATTATTATTATATAAGAGATAAACTTGATATAACTACCTTGTAATTATACCTATGGTAGCTCTCTATTTTACAACTGCAGGCTGTAGTGGTTCATGACATTCATTATAATTACATTTCCACTGTGCAAGTGTTAGAGGAACTCCTTCCAATTTTCAGATGAGACCCATGACTTGTGTTTCTCTGGGTACACTCTACTTATCCCCCTGGGAAGATGCCTTCATGGACAGAGCCCAGATACATATCGGGCAGAACAGTCCCAAGATCCCTCAGCACGCCTAGCCCTAAGGGAATTCCGAGGTGTTGATGAATCTGTCCGTATTAAAGTAAGTTAAGGAGAGAAATTCCATTACTCTCCTCCCTGGATTTCCTAGCAGGAAAGAGGTCCAGAGTGAGCTGTCATAATATATTTCCTCTTGGCGCAGAGCTGCCCCTTTGATGATCTCCAGGGCACATTCCTCCTTCGGAGCTGCTTGCTTAGTCATTACCCCAGAAACTGCCTTCATGGCTGTATCTGTAGAATGACAAGGGAAGAATAGAGTTAGGCAAGACTAGCAGAGTCTGCACGATGGGAGGCCTGCAGACAGACAGCTTAGCTGTCAGGGGCCCTTCGCCAGTGTTTGCTCTGCAAGCCTCACAGGAACCTCCGAGAAAAACGTGGAGAGACTGGGCATGCTTAGAGCCTGCTGGCAGAGAGGCCTTAATGTTAAGAGGGGCCCTGCCTTTCTAGGTGCAGACTTGTGGGGGCAGTTAGAGGTGATTAGTTGGGAGATCTGAATCATACTTTTCTCTTGGGTGTTTTGGTTGGGGCGGGGGAGTCCTATGGGGGAACAGAATGAGGACAGAAGTCTCATAATGACCCAGTAGCCAATGGGAAGTGTCAGTGGGCAGCAACAGAGTGCTGTATGACAATGACTTACTGTCTTGTAAGAGGAAGTGCTTATTAAATGAGAGAGCTAGTGCTTTCTGTTGCTGGTTCTTAGTACATTACACATATGTCAGGAAGTTCAGCACCCTTCTTTACCCATAATGGTAAGGCAGCTGCATGTCCTTTATTCCAATGTCTTGACCTTACCTGTGTTTATGAGGCCGAGAACACAGAGCGTGATTGACACATTGACCTTGGCCACTGAATATTCCTTCCTGATGGAGGAGAAGAACCCATCCAGAGCAAACTTGCTTGCAGAATAGGGAGCAATCAGTGGATGGGCCATTTTCCCTAAATGATAGATTAAAAAAAATGACTTAACCAGGTGATCTATTTCAGCTTCTGACAGAGCTGATCTTTATCTGTAGCAGGCTTAGTAACCCCTAAGGAGTCCTTTTACCCCTTGGAGTTTTAATTTCTCTCTATTCCCTATAGAAATTATCCTGCTATTTGAATTCTAAAAAGGAAAACATTAAGGTATTGAAGGTATGGGGGAGGGTGGGCTGCAGGATAGCCTTCGTTGAAGAGGGATTTGTTAGGTTTTTAAAGGGTGGTCAATAAACTGGATTACAAAAGAGTCATGTAATTCCACTGCTGCTAAAGTCTTCTAACTCTGACCCAAGAAAGCTGGAGATCCCAGGGCTTGATAAGAGCTGTCAACTCAGTGGTCTGTCATTGATAATGGAAAGGGTATATTTTACTTTCTCCGTGAAGGGGATAAAACCCCTTGTCTTTGCTTTTTTACTCAAAATAACTATTTTTTAAAAACTTTCATCAGCCTGGTTAATTCTCACTGCAGTTTTTGGGAGCATGTGTGGACATATACCTAATAGGATAACCTATCCTTTATACCCTCTACAAGAGGAGGAAGTAGAAGTGAACCAAGACTTTATACTCTTTGCTGAGCATTGTTACAACTACCAATTTAAAAGATGTGCAATGTTTGGGGGATGGACATGCTTGAAGCTCTTACTTGAGGGGGGAGGGGGGCATGGGCAATATATGTAACCTTAACACTTGTACCCCCATAATATGCTAAAATAAAAAAATAATAAAAATAAATAAAATCCTTGTCTGGGCTGGGCGTGGTGGCTCACGCCTGTAATCCTAGCACTCTGGAAGGCTGAGGCAGGTGGATTGTTTGAGCTCAGGAGTTCGAGACCAGCCTGAGCAACAGCGAGACTCCGTCTCTACTAAAAATATATAGAAAGAAATTAGCTGGACAACTAAAAATATATACAGGCACATGCCTGTAGTAGTCCCAACTACCCGGGAGGCTGAGGCAGGAGGATAGCTTGAGCCCAGGAGTTTGAGGTTGCTGTGAGCTAGGTTGACGCCATGGTACTCTAGCCTGGGCAACGAAGTGAGACTCTGTCTCAAAAAAAAAAAAAAAAAAAATTAAAAAAAAAATAAATCCTTGCCTGCCAATTCTAGAATCAGGATCATTTTAGGATTGCTCTTTATTGCCTTTCCTACTGAGTATGGGTCACATTTACCATTCTTGTATGTGGGGTAGTTTTATACTGTATCCTGGATATTGTGAATGATGTGTTGTAGAGTCTCTGGATTCTGTGATATTCCTCCAAAAGGTGTTAATTTTTTTTTTTAAAGTGGGAAGTTAACTTGGGTGAAACTCTGTGTCTCTTGCAGTAAGTACTAGCTGAAATCTCTGTTCAATTGTTTGAATCTTAACTTGGATGCTTTGTGTCTGCACTATTCACGTGTAGTTCAGAGAACAACTAGAGAATTGGGCAGAGATTATATATAGAATTGTGTTTCCCACTGTGGCTCTCTCCTTTCCAGGACATTCCCTTTTACTTTCTGGCTGCTGTAGTAACCTCAACCTATTTCTTCTGACTCTTCAAGCTAGTAAGATGGCAGGTTTCTACCCCAGATATGGCATTGATTGGGGCTGCCCTTAGACATACAGTGATAAAGTTGGGAAACTTGGCTAGTATCCTAGTGTTATTTCATCTTCCAAGTGTCAACAGCCCTCCAGGTTCTGTCTGCTTTTGGCTACCCTGAAGTGCTTTCAATGTTTGTTTTCTATATCTTTTCAAAACCTTCCTTCCTGAGAAAGAATACTCTTTTAGGTACCACTCTGATATTACTGGAATTAGAAATTCTGTATATTTAAAAATATAATGTAGTTGTATGCCAAATCAATGAAAAAAAGGATGGATTATTTAATGAAGATGCTGGGAAAGTTGTTTAACTGATTGGAAAAAATGAAGTTAATTCCTTGTTTTATATCGTATAGCCAAAAAATTTTAGATGAAAAATTACGACAGTGTTGTCTATCCAATTTCCATTTCTCCCCCTTTAATAATAGAATCTGACTTTGTTCAGGATAGCAAATAACTCAGATTAAAATACTCGTCTCCCCAAGATTTTCTTGCTCTAATTGGCCATGTGATATAGTTCTGGACAATGAGAAATCTAAGAGATGGAGTTTCTAGGAAAGCTATTTACTTCCTGATAAATTAGATGGATCCAGGTGGCATGCAATCTTTACATTTTCCCCCTCTTCTTTCCTCCTAAATGAGCTTCAAATATGATGGCTAGAATTATAGCAGTCATTTTGTGAGCTTGAGGAAAAGCTAAATGTTAATTATAGTGAAATAGAAATGTGAAATGAGCTTGGATTCTTGAAGACATCATAAGTCCACCAAACCAGTGCTGAACTTATTACCTGAAAAAAAGGAACTTCCCTTTGTTAAGCTGTTGTGTGGTTTTTCTTACATGTGCAACAAATGTAACTTCTGCATGACACAAAAATAATTCAATTAGAGAAAGAACTAATATAGGTGAATATTAGGTCCTTGGTTATGAAAGATCATTCTAGTAGAAAAGTTAAAAAAAATGTAAAGGCAAAGAATATCTGATATTATAAATGTAAAATTTCTGTATATCAAAACAAGTGTAATAACATTACTATATAGGTAGAGGGCAAATGATAAACTAGAAAACCATTTGCAACGTATTAGATAGACAAAAGCTTAATATTCCCAATCCTCAATAAATAAAGAGCTCTTACAAATAAACAAATGCAAACTTATTTCTTTAGGGGACCACTCTAACTACATCCTCAGTCATGAATTTTGACTTGGGATGACTCCAGGAATCACTGTGACACAGGATGTCCGACTCGGAGTATCTCATACCACCAAGCTACTGGCTAGTTTGATGACCCAAGCAGGGCTGAAGGGCACATTGTTGATTGCCTTACCAGCATTTAGTTCTCTTTTCTTACTCTCCAACAGAACCCCAATTGAGTTCATGTTTCTACCTTTTGTAGAGACCGCTAGTAGTCTCTCAATATATTTTCTGCCCTTTTTTCTTAGTAGTAAACTCCCTGATTTGTAGCTGGGCTCATAGTTATCTAGAATAAAGTCACAGTTCAAAGCTCCCCTCAGCCAGATGTTGCCACCTGACGAAGTTCTGTCCAGTGGGATGTAAGCAGAAGTGTATCTTGTAACTTCTGGGACACAGACTTTCTTTTTGTATTTTTAAAGAATACATCATACTTGTGCATATTTTTGGGGTACATGTACTATTTTGATACATGGATATAATGTGTAATGATCAAGTCAGGGTAATTGGGATATCTGTCACTTCAAACATTTTTTTAGTTTGTGTTGGGAACATTACAATTCTAGCTATTTTGAAATATAAAATAATTTTTGATAACTATAATTTCCATATAATACTATCGAATACTGAAAACTTATTCCTTCTATTTATTTCTATTTTTGTATCCATTAACTAACATCATCACCCCTACTCCTCTTCACTTCCAAGGCTGTGATAACTACTACTTTACTCTCTACCTCCATGAGATCAACTGTTTTAGCTCCCACATGAGTGAGAACATGCGATACTTATCTTTTTGTGCCTGACTAATTTTAATTAACAAAATAACCTCCAGATCCACCCATCTTGCTGCAAATGACTGGATTTTATTCTTTTTTTATGGCTGAATAATATTTCATTGTAATATATACCACATTTCCTTTATCAGTTCTTTCAATGATGGACACTTAGGTTGATTCTGTATCTTGGCTATTGCGAATAGTGCTGCAATAAACATGAAGGTGCAGGTATCTCTTGGATATACTTTTGGATATATACCCAGCAGTGAGATTGCTGGATCATATAATGCCATTTTATTTTTAGTTTTTTGAGGAACCTCTATACTGTTTTCCATAATGTCTGTACTACTTTATATTCCCACCAATGGTGTATGAGCATTCTTCTTTTTCCACATCCTCACCTATGTTTGTTATTTTTTGTCTTTTTGAAAGCCATTCTAACTGGGGTCATATGATATCTCATTGTGGTTTTGATTTGCATTTCCCTGATGATTAGTGATGTTGAGCATTTCTTCATATATCTGTTGGCCATTTGTATGTCCTCTTTTGAGAAATGTCTATCAGGTCTTTTGTTCATTTTAAAATTTGATTATTTGTGTTTTTGCTATTGAGTTGTTTGAGTTCCTTATATATTCTAGTTATTAATCCTTCTTCAAATGGATAATTTGCAAATATTTTCTCTCATTCTGTAGGTTGTCTCTTCCCTTTGTTAATTGTTTCTTTTGCTCTGCAAAAGTTTTTTAGCTTGTTGTAATCCCATTAGTCTATTTTTGCTTTAGTTGTCTATACTTTTGAGGTCTTACCCCCAAAAATCTTTGCCGAGACCAATGTCCTGTAGCATTTCTCCAATGTTGTCTTTTAGTATTTTTATAGTTTTGGTCTTACATTTAAGTATTTAATTCATTTTGAGTTGATTTTTGTATATGGTGAAAGATGGGGATCTAGTTTCATTCTTGTGCATATGGATATCCAGTTTTCCCAGCACCATTTATTAAAGAGCTCTTGTGTGCTCTTTAAGCATACAAATGTATGCTCTTGGTGCCTTTGTTAAAAATGAGTTGGCTGTAAGTGTATGGATTTACTTCTGGGTTCTCTATTCTGTTCCATTGGTCCATATGTCTGTTTTTATGCCAGTACCATGCTCTTTTGGTTACTATAGCTTTGTAGCATAATTTGAAATCAGATGGTATGATGCCTCCAGATTTTTTTTTTTGCTCAGGATTTCTTTGGCTATTCAGGGTCTTTTGTAGTTCCATGTGAATTTTAGGATTGTTTTTTCTATTTCTGTGAAGAATGCCATTGGTATTTTATTAGGAATTGCATTGAATCTGTAGATCACTTTGGGTAGTATGGTCATTTTAACAATATTAATTCTTCCAATCCATAAGCATAGGATACTTTTCCATTTTTTGTGTCTTC